AAGATGTAAATACATAAGAATTAAGTGGTGTGTTTGCAAATTTTCCAATATCCATTTATTACGTGATGTTGAAGCTTCAGTGACATATCTATTTGTTATGCCATATCTAGTGTAATGTAATCTATCAATGCTTATCCTTTTGTCATTTTCTTGCAGTGGAATATTATGAAGCTTCTAAGAGTCTCAACTGCCATGTTAAAGCTGTGTATCTCACCGTTAAGTTGCTCAGATCTTCGCATTTGGATCAAATGTTTCATAAAGGCTGAGTGATCAGAGAACTCTGAGTACTGCCGAGTAAACATGCAGAACTCTTGTGTGGAGCGGGAAGTGTTCTTAGACTGGGACGAGAGCATTAGAACTTCTGTCGACTCTGCATCATCTTATTTCTCAGCAGATGAAGACGATGAATTCAAGCTCCGAATCTTCAATCCTGAATCATGGATGGGAGACATGAAGTCTGTCCAGGAAAGAAGGCAAAAATTCTTATGCAATATGGGATTTGAGAAACTTTTTTTTCCTCACTCAGATTTCTCATCATCTATGAAGAAATCTCAAATTGAGATAAGCAGACTTACCAATGCCAATGGTGCTGCCCTGGATTCCTTTTCAGCAACGGATGATGGGATACAAGGAGATTGCATAAGGAATCTGGACAATGGAAAGGTATTTATCGTTCATGAGCTTGGGGATAATGGTTTGCCCAGCTTGCTCAAAGAATTAGGTTCTGACAAACTTTTGACATACCAGGAGTTTGAAGAGTTACTCGGATTTCCCTGCTCTGTTCATAAACAAATGGACAGAAAAGTTTCGCTTGCTACAGAAAAACAGTGTGATAGTGTTGCTGCAAGGAGAAAGCATAGGAGCTGGTGGAGAAGGATTCTCAACAAGAAACATTTGGTAGGAATGTGCGAGCATGATGTCACCATAAAAAATTCCCAACTGCCCCGGACTATAAGAACGAATGGACTGAGAAATAGGAGACGGTCCAGAGAACTAACGGGGATATTCATTGAGCAGGAAATCCGAGCACATGTTGGTTCAATTAGGGCTTTGAAGTTTAGTCCATCAAGATGGTATATAGCAAGTGGTGGTGAAGATTCAATCGTTCGCATCTGGCAAATTAAGGAAGCAGAAGCCACTTGCAAGTGCGAAGTGGAAAATAGTTCAGCCAATAGTATTGGTGAATGCAGATGTAGCTCTTTAATTGGAATGAAAGATGGTAACCGTGCTCCTGTTGTATTCCCGAAGAAGGCTTATAAGATCTTGGAGAAACCAAGACATGAATTCCATGGACATACTGGTGAAATTCTCGATCTTTCATGGTCTTCATCGAATGTAAGTCATGCTTCTTTACCATGTTTAAGAAACTAGAAAAGAACTTTTGGTTTCTATGTTTAGACTGTTAATTTCTAGGGATTTTATAGGAATTCCATCTTGAAATCTTTTCTTGCAGCAACTTCTAACAGCATCCATTGACAAAACTGTGCGATTGTGGAAAGTTGGTTGTGATGGATGCCTTCAAGTTTTTCTGCACAATGATTATGGTAACTACTAACTAGCTATAAATGGTCTGAAAAGCTGTATGCTTTAACATGAAGGTGATATTGATTTCTTTATAAGGATATTCAGGTTGCTTGAATGCCCTTGTCTTCTTGGATTCTCTAAACGAATTAATTGTTCTTGAAAACTAACACTCGCTAAAAATGGTCTGAAAACCTGTATGCTTAAACATGAAGGTGAAATTGATTCCTTTATAAGGATATTCAGCTTGCTTGAATGCTCTGGTCTTCTTGGATTCTCTTAAAGAATTAATTGCTATTGAAAACTAACCCATTTCATTAATGGCTTGGGCTTATATAGAGC